TACGATTTTGCCTATAAAAAGATAAAATTAATTATGTATGTATTTTTTTTCGTTCATGACCAAAGACCTTTTAGATATGTAACATAAGGGAAGTGGGTTATGTATTTTAGGTTTGAAAGTAAATAAAAAATTTGAAGATACCTTAAAGGTCCAATAAACTCTAGTGGATAAAAATATTCCTGAATATCAAATAATAATAATAATAATAATAATAATAACAATTAGTCAAATAAATAATTCTGTAATTTGAGTTCACAGTTTCTTGGATTACCAATTGAATCATAAACTACTACATGGTCCTTTTCAGATATTCCAAGGTTACCTTTGTGAAAAAAAAAACGTTTATATTAATTATTTAATTGAACAGAAAGTTGTTATTGGTAAAAGGTTACTTGGTAATCATACAGCGTCATCAATCCAAAAAACCTCGCATTCTTTAAAGATATAAAAAGGTACATCAATATTTATAAACGCATCGGATATAATAAATCATAATAAAAAATAAAAACCTTCAAACGCGTCTTAAAATATTCTTCATAAGGATTTCTATCAGTATTTGGCATATGCCATGATCCATCAACAGGTATAATAGAATCATAATTTTGCGCCACCCATTCAGTAGTAACGATAGAAGAGTTATTTACAGAGGATGACGATGAAAACATTGCTATTACACAAGGCCAATTATTGAAAAATATATCATTTAATATTTGTAATATTTTACCATCAAATCGAGATTTTATGTTATTATCTAGAAAATATGCTTAACACGTAAACTCAATGACTTGCGTGAAAAATGTAAATTTGAGTTCACACCAATATTTTTTGCAATATTAATAAACAGTCAACATGTTTATGTGCATAATCTTGTCTTAGCCATGTCCAGGTAATGTTATTATTATCACAGTTTATGCTAATTTTTATTACTACGTAAGATTATGAGAATAATTTAGTACTCAAGATCTTATCTGGATTTAAGAAAATTCTTGATTTTTTGAAGAAGTAAATATATTTATTTTACACCATAGTAAATCTCATAAAATAAAAGACAAAACTATTAGATCTAAAAAGAGTCAAGAAAATTTAATAATCACAAACGCTAAAATATTTCTACAAGTAATACGAATAATGCTAAACTAACACTAAGACATC